ATCTCTTGCAGTTACTAACCTTTGTTGTTCTGCAATACTCCTTATCAGACCAACAGCTTTCATCCTTGATTTGACCCTTTGGCCATCCTGGATTCGATGCAACTGCAGCTCCAGAGGATGCCACAACAACTCGCTTCACCTTTGCTTCAACACATGCTTTAAGCACATTAAGTGTGCCCTTCACAGCCGGTTCAACTAATTCCACCTAATGGAAGTAACATGAGCATGTGAAAAGATAGAGATGATCAAATATTAACACTAATTAAGCTAAATGTTATGCATCAAATGCATGTCAAACTTAAATCCCTTAAGATTAGATGCCACTTGGTATACTTCAAGCAAACTAATTCCCATTCTCTTTTTATACCCTTTCTTTTGGTATCTCCTAAGTGAGACCTCACAAACAAAGTGATCAAAGGGGCATAGATCCTGACGCAAGTAAAGCGAGATTAACAAAATTAATTCCACAATAAGGACATACACTTGCCTCAGGATTTGGTACAGAAGTTAAGGGCACAGGAGAGGCGACATGGAAGACACCACTGCAGTCTTCAATGGCTGAATAAAGAGACTCATAATCCAGTAGTTCTGCCTTAAAGACTTTAAGGTTCTCAGATGCTTTGTCAAGTTTATTCAGATGGGCATACTTCTCATCCCCTGCAAACCTCATCAAGTAAATTAATAAACAAGATTCCTATGTTATATAGCCTTTAGAATAAGGCAAAACTGTACTTTTAGCCCCTCATCTTGTTAAATTTGAAGGTTTTAGCTTTTCACCTTGTACTAGGACATTTTTAACTCCTCACCTTATTAAATTTGTAAGTTTTAACCCTTCACCTTATACTAAGGCACTTTTAACCCCTCAACTATTAAAATTGAAGAAAATAACCTTTACTTTGTGACATTTTGTTAGTTCTATTAGCTGACTGTTAACTGTATTAATTGACTCTTAGTTAATTGTTAACTGTTAAAAACCTTCTTTCAACTAATAGAGTTAATAAAACTAATTTTATAATATTTCATTAATTTTGTTAATTGACCATTAGTTGACTATTAGTTGATAAAAATCTACTTTTAGTTAACAGAATTAACAGTCAGTCTAAACTGAAGGTTATTTTCTTCAATTTTAATAGGTGAAGGAGTAAAACTTACAAATCTAGTAAGATAAGAGATTAAAAGTGTCATAGTATAAAGTGAGGGACTAAAACCTTTAAATTTGATAAAGTGAGGGGCTAAAAGTAAGTTTTTGCCTTAGAATAATCCTTCTAGAAATAACCAAGCAATGAAATTGTTCAATATCTCAAAGTCAACGATAAACAGATCATACAGAGTCAACGATGAACAGGGTGCTACAAACATGATAAAAGTAGAAATACAGAAATAATCTTTAGTTACGGAGGTATCCCACGACAATACTGGATGATTAGCAAACCACAAACACAGAGGAATACACCAGTGAATAGAAAAGAATAAAGAGACAAGGGA